TATGTTATGTTATGTTATGTTATGTTATGTTATGTTATGTTATGTTATGTTATGTTTGTTATGTTATGTTATGTTATGTACACACACACATGGAAAGAGTGAGGAAAAACAGTGGTGCTAAAATTACACAAGATGAAAAGTGCAACCTATGACATTTCAAACTGCAAATATTTTTTTAAAAAGTCCAAAACCAGCAAATTGAAAACTAATTTTGGAAACTGTTTCTCTACATGAACCTCACTGAAGAACCAGGGCTGCCAAGGCAGCTGCTGTTCCACTGCCCTTTGCAACCTCTTTTTTCCTTTCCACAGCTTCACCAGCATCATTGAAATTGGAGTTGGAGCTGGAGAGTATATCTTGGCACGCTACAGTGTAAGTGGAATGGGGCCTAGCATCTGTCATGCAGGCAATCATGTTCTGCATGCCAAAGGGGCATGGTCAGATCCTTAAGTCAGGATGACTTGATCATCTCTGAAAGTCACAAGCAATTCACGCCTCTGGGTGGCTGACTTCTAGGTTCTTGACTATAACAGAAGTAAGGAGGGGGATGACTTCCAGTCACCAGAGCATGACAGTTGAAATCTGTGGAGATCTGAGGAAATCCATGATAATCAGCAGTTTTCTGCCGTCTTGGAGGCTCCTTTGGGCCAAATGTCACCTCGAAGGGGTGACTAAGCTGGAAAGGTGCCTGTAGATTGCAGGGGGATGGCAGTCCACTAATCTGGATCCAGGGAAACTTTCTGGACAGACAGGGAAGAAGCCGGCCATTAATGGCCTAACCGAAGCGCAGGCAAATAAATAGATACAGAAGGTGGAAGAACTAAATATTTTTAAGACAGAGCCTTGATAAGATGTGTGTAATAAAGTCAATTGTTGCCATTGGATCTATTTAGTTTTATTAAGTTGCATTGACGGAGATAAGTTGATAAGGACAAGACAAAGGAGGAAGTGACGTTTATGGACTATATACTGTAAAATTCTTAAAAGGTCAAGAGCTCTTTTTGGATGGTCATATGTCAAAATGTAGCAAAAGTGTGGAATGTGTTTGGCAAAGACCCAAAGTAGACCTTAGACCTTCAGAGTTATGCCTGATTCTAGTGGAAAATTTTTTAGAAATGGAAGCAAGGAAAAAATCGCCTGAGAAATCACTGACTCAATCAGATAAATTTGATGTTCTCTTACAAGAGTTAAGAGAAATGAAGATAAATATAAAGGAGGATTTGAAGCAAAAAAAATGATAAAATGGATACTATGGATGTAAGAATAACAGATTTGGTGAAACAAAGTCAGGATATGACACGAAATATTACCGAAGTGAGGACTCAGCTGGGAGAACATGATAGGGTGTTAAAAAGCCAGATAACTATGAAGCATCAGGTGAAAAAGGATTTGATCGAGATACGGGACTGTCAGCGCCACTCAAATTTACAGATATGTGAATATCCGGAGAAAAGTGAACAAAATGAAGCAAAGTTGATCCAAGGAGTATTGGACTGGGCTACCTCGATCCTCCCAGATGTCCCCTGTACAAGATATGATATTGATGTAATACATAGAGTTGGCCGAAAAAAGTTGGGAAGAAAATTGCTGAGAGACATTGTGATACGATTCTGGTCTTATACAAAAAAAAGAACAATTGATGTGTAAATTGCAAAATATGCCGTTGATAGTGTTTGGGGGTCATCAGATACACGTTTTTCCAGATTTAAGTAGTAAGACTTTACAATGGAGGTGAGAGATGCATCAAGTTTGTCAATTATTGAAGAAAAATAATATTAATTATAGCTGGGGTTATCCAGTTTTTTTGAGATTTCCATAGGTGGAAGATTTTATAGAGTTGAAACAAAGGAGGATGCAATGGAGAAATTAAGGGAGCTCAAAATCATCAATAAATAAGAGTTATAGAATATAGAATAACAGAGTTGGAAGGGACCTTGGAGGTCTTCTAGTCCAAGCCCCTGCTTAGACAGGAAACACTATACCCTATACCCCTGATGGCGAACCTATGGCCATTTCTGAGGGCATGCGGGGTGTTGCCTTGTCAGCTCCAGCGCATATGTGTGTGCTGGCCAGCTGATTTTGGCCTTGATTTTTGACTGTGTTTTGCCCTCCAGAGGCTTCCCTGAGCCTCCAGAGGATGAAAAACAACCCAACGCACAAACTGGAAGTTCAGGAGTAGCAATAGCAATAGCAGTAGACTTATATACCGCTTCATAGG